CTTAGACATCTGAGGGAGGTGCGGCTTCCTCTGATGGGGGCAGGGGCCCTTGTTGGGTCAGCAGAGGGTCCAGACCCTGCCAGGGGACAAGGTGAGGACCCCGAGGGAGGACAAGAGATTTTTCTACCACAGCTAGAGACTCCCTCCACTCTGCGCCCCCCTCCCTCCCATGGGACTCCTCCCCCCTTCCCATGGTACTCCTCCCCCCCATGGTATGCCTCCCCTCCATGCTCCACTAGCTCCGCCCCTTCCTTCCCTGTAGAGTCCCCGGATGTAAAGTTGCGTGACTGCTGCCTTAAGCATCTGAGGGACGTGTGGCTTCCTCTGAGGGAGGCAGGGGTCCTTGTTGGGACAACAGAGGGTCTAGACCCTGCCAGAGGACAAGGTGAGGACCCCGAGGGAGGACAGTGAGGGCTCCCTCCACTCAGCATACCTTCCCTTTCCCTCATGTCACCCCTCCCCCCATGTTTAACTAGCCCCGCCCCTGCCTTCTATCCCAGTAGGGTCCCCGGATGTAAAGTTGCTTGACTTCTGCCTTAGGCATATGAGAGACGTGCGGCTTCCTCTTGAGAGGACGTGAGTCGGGACAGCTAAGAGAGGGGTGCAAGCCGTACCAGGAGGCAGGGTGAAAATACCAAGGAAGGCGTCAGAGGCTTTCTACCACAGCTAGAGGGCGCCCTCCGCTCAGCACCTCCCTCTCCACCCCTAACCCCACTTCCATTCCGCTAGCCCCGCCCTGCCCCTGCCATCAGCTCCAGGAAGCCCCTGGCAAGGTCCCCGGATGTAAAATGTTCTGACTTCTATTTTGGGCATCTCAGGAGGTGCTGCTTCATCGGACCTGACAGGGCCAGAGTCTCGTCAGCAAAGGGAGAGGTCCAGGCCCTTCTAGGGGCAAGGTGAGAACCCTAAAGGAGGACGACGGAGGTGACCTTCCAACCTGAGGCGTCCCCAAAGAAACCCACCCTTCTATCAGTCAAAGCTTGGAGGTTCTGGGCAAGGCGCTCATATGTGTTGACCTTCCTTTCTAGAGTCTCAAGGAGATGGAGACCTTGGGCTGAGGGTTGCAGAAGCTGGGGGGGGTGGGCGGCGGGGGTGGACCTTCCAGGAGCAAATATTTGTTGAAGAGGGCTGAGGGCACCCCCACCTCAGAAGGTTTGGGCTCTGCCCCGCCCCACGCACGTTAACAGTTATGGCAGGCCTCAGATGGCATCCCTCCTGGCTTGATCCTTGGGCATTTGGGGGATGTGAGATTTGGAGGGAGGCAGAGGTCGGGTCCAGGCCTTGCCAAGAGGCAAAGTAAGGACCTCAGAGGGAGAATGTGGAGATTTTTTTATCACAGGTAGAGGCTCCCAGGATTTAGCACCTACACCTCCCCTCTCTTCTCCTGCCACTCCCCCCTCCTTCCCCTGCCCCTCCTACCACCTCCTCGTGCTCCTCCCCTCCCCTCCTACTTCATCCTCCTGCCCCTCCCACTTCCTCCTCCTCCTTTCCCTCCCACCTCCACCCCCTCCCATCACTTCCTCCACCAGCTCCTCCTCCCACCATTTTTTCCTACCTCTCCCAATACTACCTCTTCCCCCAACTTCTCCACTCCTCCCCCACTGACTCCTCTCCCACCTTTTCTTCCTCCATCTCCTCCCACAGACTTCTCCCATCACTACCTCTTCCTTCTATCTGCTTCCCTACCTCTTTCTACTACTGACCCACAGCTTTTTCTCCCATTCTCTCTTCTTCCTTCCACCCCATCTTCCTTCTCCACTTCCTCCTCCTCCTTTATCTTCTTCCCTGCCTCTCCTCATTCTCCTCACTTTCTCCTCCTGTTCCTCCCCACCTCCTTCTTCTTTGTGCTCCCTTAGTACCACTTACCTCACTCTACCCCTACCATTAGCCCTGGGAAGCCCCAGGCAGGATCCCTGCATGTGGCATTTCCTAATTTACACCTTGGACATCTGAAGAGAAGCAGCTACTTCGAAGTGGCTCAGAGTTAGCTCAGGAGAGGGAGGAGTCCAAGCTCTAATAGACCAAGGTAAGGAACCTGAGGGAGGACGAAGAGGGCTACCATCACAGGTACTTAACACCCCCCTCCACCTGTATGCCACTTCCTCCCTCCCTCTCTATTATGCCCTCCATTTTATATACTGGTCTCGGCCCCATACCTTTCCTTGAACCTGCTATCTATCAGCTCTGTGAAGCCTCAGGCCTGATCTCTGGATATTCAGTTTCCTGACTTTTGACTTGAGAATCTGAAGAGGTGCAGCTAAGTTGGAGTGCACTGGAGTTGAACTTGACGAGGAAGGAATTCTTTCTCTTGTAGGACAAGGTAAGGACCCCAAAGAACAGAGAGGTCCTCTACCCACAGGTAGAGGTTTTCCTCCACTTAGCACCATCCCTACCCACCTCGCCATGCCACCCTCCCTCCTTGCCATGTTATACTCTCTTTCTTTGTGCTCCCTTTGCGCTTTTTTTCCAGCTCCTGCTGTTTTATTTCCAGATTTACACGTTGGGATTCTGAAGGTGTTTGGTTTCCTCTGAAGGGGCTGCAGTCAGAGGGAGCAGTCCAGGCCCTACCAGGAGGCAAGGTAAGGACACTGAGGGAGTACTGAAGGGACCCTAGAGAAATCTGTCCCTGTCCTGGCAGAGCTGTCAAGCTGAAACACCACTCCTCACTTCATTTTCAGGGGTCTTAGGAAAATGGGGTATACCATTGGGTCAGAAGTAGGGGGTAGACCATTGGGTCAGAAGTAGGGAAGGGTCCATCATGAATAAATATGAATATATTAATTGAGATACTGAGGGTACTCTTACCCCAACAGGGGACCTTGTAGAGACACACACACCATGCCCTTGGTGCTAGCCCAAAGAGATCCCTGACAGGGGTAGCGGTAATATGATGCCTTTTCCCTTTTGTCTTAGGTTCTCAAGGAGTTGAAGGCTATTATCTGAAGAGACACCAGAAGAGGGAAGATTGGAAGGCTCTGTGGTAGTTAGGTAAGTAAGGATGCTGATGAATTGAGGGACTGCAGAATTAGGGGTGCCTCAGATCCATCCTGGAGTCCTGGTGTGGCACTCTGGGATAAAGCACTGGACCTCAAGATCAGCAGTTCAAACTCACCAACCACTCCTTGGAAACCCTATACATGGTTACTATGAGTCGGAACCAACTCGACAACATTTAACAACAACAACAGATCCATCCCTAGAGGGAGCCAAATTGTTCAGGACCAATGGTAAATCTTGCCCAGAAGAGAAAGACAGTGACAGAATCCAGCTGTCTTTCTACTCAGTTTTGCCTGGGATAACCCAGGCAAGAGTGATCAGATGATGTAAGTTATCACTTCTGCCACAGACAGAGTGAGGTCAGTGTCTTCTGTATGTGAGGCTTTAGTTTGAGGGGGCAACATCAAGTCTAAAAGGGGACTAAGGCCTGTCAGGAATCACAAATAGTAACCTGAGGAAGGAATAAGGGTACTCTTTACTCAAGAATGTTACGGCAGCGTGAGTCAGAAAGAACTCAACTCGAAAATCTTAAAGAGCAAAGTTTCTTGCTGGTTGCCAGAGTGTCAGCTCAAGCCCAAATCACTCTGACCCCGAAGTGAAGAGGGGAACAGGGTTTTATACAAAAACACAGAGTGGTTAAAACAAACAAACTTGTGTTGTTACCTGGGGTGGAAAATTCCAGCAGACCCTTATCCTGTAAATGGGAATAAACCCACCAATACACCCTTACCTTGTTTGTATGGATGGGCTAAGTTTTTATCCTGTTTGTTCAGGTGTCCTTGGGTCATTCTGATCTCTGCAGTTTTTCTGTAAGAAGTTTGTTTTTCATTTTTCCATAGAGTGAGTTGGAGGTGGGGCCAGGGTGAGACGGGGCTGAAAGGACTTAGCAGATACCTAGTTTAAATGAGGCTGTTAGTCATGCTATAACAAGAACATATGAATTCAGAGCCTCCTATCACTGTTTGGAAATCTAAGACAGGTTGGCTGGATTTTGTGCCTGCCTTCTGCGTTGGGGTCTCTTAGACATGAAGATCTTTGTCTGTAGGGATCACATGAGGCCAGCAGAGAAAACCACATCAGGAAAGTACAGAGAGGAGTTCCAGGTTCTGCCAGGCATCAGAATACAAACTCAGAGGAAGTACTAAAGCCATACACACACACCCATGTGCCTGCGCACACACACTTAGATAGATGGGCCCTCAACACTGCCCTGCCCCTGCTGACAGCTCTGGAAGACTGTAGGACTTAGTATCCATACCTTTTTTAGTCAACCCTCACTTACATCCTGGTGGTGATAATTAAGGGGCAACCCTTGTTTGAAAAATACCCTATCCATTCACCAATGTAAGCACTAAGTGTGACCATCTTCCATTCAAAGATAGGTGAGCTCATATCTCTGTCCTGCCCCTGTTGTCACACCTGGAAGGGAGGACCCAGAGCAGAGTTCTGAGATGCCATGGCCCCTCACCCCCTCATCCTTGGTCTCAGAAATGTGAGCTTTCATTCTAAGATTTCTGCCTCAGGTCAGCAGAAGAGAGAGTATGGCTACTCATTTTTTTCTCACAGGTTCTCAGTGAACTGAGAGGTGAGAGTGTTGGTCTCAAGAGCACATCTTCAGGTCTGCTGAGTAGGGGAGGCCTAGATAACTGCCAGAAGTCAAGGTGAGAACCCTGAATGTCTATCAAGAGTCCTTACCCCCAGAAGGTTACCTGACCCCACCTGCCCTACCATCAGCCCTGGAAATGTCAGACTGTGTTAACAAACTGCACACTGATGAGCTGTCCTACTTCTTTATTCATGTTCCTAGGGGACAAGTTGAACCAGAGACAAGAATCCTTAGAGAAAGACCTAAACAGAAGACCTGTAAGTTGGCCTTCATCAGAGCTGCCAATGTTGAGTTTCTCAGCAGACGCTGCTCATACTCTCCCTGTCTTTACTAGGTTGAGGACTCCCATCTCGCACCCTCCTGCACACACTCCTGTGCACAGCCCACAAGATTCATCATGCCTTGTGCTCATGCTCCTAAGCGTCAGCGCTACACACTTGATCAAGAGCTTCAGGACGCAGCATTTCAAGCAGATGATGAAGAAGAGTCCTCATCTTCGGATTCCCCCTTCGACGTGTACTTCCTCTCTGACATTTCTTCCTCTTCCTCTTCCTCTTCCTCTCCTATAGATCCACAAACAGACGAGATAGCTTCTGATGAGGAACTGAATACTTCCCAGGTTTCTCAGGATAATTCCTCCTCTTGCAGTTCACTGAGCTCATTAAATGATGATTCCAGCTTCAAAACCCATGAAGAGGAGAATCCAAGCTCATGTCAAAACCAACCAGATAATGAATCCTTGCTAATCAATGAGAAGGCGGCTGAATTGATTAAGTTCCTGCTCCTCAAATATAAAACAAAGGAGCCCATCACAAAAGCAGAAATAATGACAAATATCATTAAACAGTATGAGGACTACTTCCTTCTGATATTCCAAAATGCTTGTGAGTGTCTAGAGCTTGTCTTCGGCCTCAGTGTGAAGGAAGAGGATCACACTGGAAATTCTTACATCTTCTATAATGTTCTAGACCTCACCTATGAAAAGATTCCAGAAAATGAGGAGGATATGCCCAAGACTGGACTCCTGATGCTTATTCTGAATTTAATCTTCATGGAGGGCAACTGTGTCAGTGAAAAGAAGGTCTGGCAAGTGCTGAGTAGAACAGGAATATATCCTGGGAGGGAGCACGCCATCTATGGAGAGCCCAAGCAGTTCCTTACCGGAGAATTGGTGCAGGAAAAGTATGTGGAATACCGGCAGGTGCCCAATACTGATCCCCCATGCTATGAATTCGTGTGGGGTCCAAGAGCTCATGCAGAAACCAGCAAAATGAAAGTCCTGAAATTTTTGGCTAAGGTCAACAATACTATCCCAAGTGCCTTCTCAAAGTGGTATGAAGATGCAATGAGAGATGAGGAAGAGCGAGCCAAGGCAAGAATTGCCCCCACAGATTCTGCTACTGCTGAGGCCACTTCAAGTTTTAGTGCCACAACCAGCAGCTCTCCTGGCCCCAGTGAAGACTGAGACACAATCTTTACTCTGAAGAGGGCAGTCAATGTTCTAAGTAATAGAGGCTGAGGTTGGGCTGGGGTACACAGTGTGTAAAATTGTTGTCTTTTTCTTCCATATGAGTAAGCTGAAAGATTTTTTAAATTTTTTTTTCCTTTTTGATGTTTTTCAGAACCTACCTCTTTAATAGTAGGTTTTATTAGCTTGGATTATTTGTTTATAAATGGCTTTACTCACACATTTATTGCTATTCAACTCAAGAGTAACTTGAATTATTTTGTGAAAGAAATGGGGAGAACTCCCATGTTTTATGTTCTGTAACAAGACAACAAGAAATTGGAATACGAATTTCCTTGGCAATGTTAAAGAACCCAGCAGTAAAATAGAGAAGATAGACCATGATTACTTTATAGCTTTTAGTCTATTGTTTGGTAAAACTAAATATTTATTAGTTTAACTTATTATTAATGTAAAGTACATGAAATCTTAATAAATAAAAAAAACCTACTCAATGGGCTCATTTATTCTCCAAACATTGAATTGAGCTTCTGTTATGTGGAATATATGCTTATTACTGGGGGAGGAGGGGGGGATCCTAGGATAAACAAGATGCACCCCAGAAGATACAAGGCTTTTGTTAAAAGAAAGCTTGAGATGGTGGAGGTTGCCCTGGTGAATGAAGCAGTCAGGCGTAAATGCCCTGAGCTTGGTAGTTTGGGGCTTTGAGAAACTCATCCCTTCTGTGGGATGGAATTTAAGTTAAGCTGGTGGGGACAGTGCCAGACTCAGTGTTTTTTAGAAGTTGAAAAAAGAGCCTGCAAAAAACATCTTATTTGCATCTTAGGTAAACCACAGGGTCAAACACCACCTGGAGCAGGCTTGGAAAGTGGCCTTTTCTCTTACTCCATTGAAGGTGGACACAGTGGAGAACCACACATTTTATATGCATCATATGTGAGGAATTCTTGAGAAACAGGGTGATTGTCCCATGATACAGTGCCCAGAAACCACTAGCCTGTTACTCTTCCCTAATATGGGAGAGAGAAGCAACTCCATTAAAAGGACAAAGAAGAGCTGGAGTCCTAATTTGGAAGAGTAGAATAAGCACTAGACTAGTAACTGCAAGGTCAGTGGTTCAAACCTACCAGCTGCTTTCTGGCTCTCCTCAAACCCTATACAAATTCACTATGAGTCAGAACCAACTCAAAAGCTCTTAACAATAATGGGTAGCTTGTTGAGGGGATTAAATGCATGAAAATATGGCTTAGTTGGAGCGAAGGAAAGAGTTTGTCCTTAACTCAAATTCTAGGAATTTAAGATTTGCATCCTTCTTGGAAAGACCCCTCTTCCCCTCCACATACACTCCGATGTTCTCCACATAGGAAATTTTAATTGATATATGAAAATAATTTCTCCAGTGGTTTTATATTCTGTGTCCTGTTGAATTGTGTATTCTGGATTAAATTATGAGTGGTAGGGTCTGGGGTCAAAACAATACTAAAAATAACTGACATCATTGAGTATTCAATACAAGGGAGCTCAATAAAGTTGACAAATGGAATAAAAGATAGTGAAATACTTCCACAAACTGATTGAAGCTCCTTCATATATGTACCAGGAGTTATACGTACATCACATACATTTCCAACAGTTTTACAAAAAGGCTTATCAAACCCACTACACAGATGAACTAAGGTTCATAGCCCTTGACAGTTTGTCCAGGATCGTAAAACTAGTGACAGGGCTGGAACTAGTTCTGTGGGCTGAATTCATCTAGAGGCCATGTTGTTCCCACTCCTATCCAGAGGCAGACCTACTGTATCTCGAGTCATCTCTCTTCTCAAATGGCATAAAGGATTCTGTGACCAAAGTACTGAAAGCCTAAAGGAAAGTGACAATAAAAAGCAAACACATTCTAGGAGCTGTGTTTGGATATTATACGTCCATGTTTGGCATGTCTGAGCTCCAGGGTTTCTTGACAGTTAACTCTGCCCAGTGGTCAACATTTTTGCCCAGTTTCCACACATTTCCTACATTATGGCATTCCCATATCTTTGCTTCTGAAAAGCATAATGACATGCTTTTCAGAAGTATGTCTAATGTATGAGAGGTATAGCATGTGCCCTGGGTACACTTGAAGAGGAGCATCACTAAGTAGTTCGTTCCTCTTAACCATCTGTGACCTAATGCCCTTCCTCAAGCATGGCAGACAACCAGAGGCATAGCAAGGGCCGAAACAAGTACTTACTCCCAAGCACAAGGCAACAGGGCACAAAAAGACATTCGGAGGTGCTATAGATATGATAGGTGACTGACAAGAGGGAGGAAGGTGTTTCTACTGATGCATCACTGTTATCAACATTTATTCATCCTGAAATTAGGCAGGATGGGAGTGTTGCATCTTGGAGATTACCTCTGGGTGTTTGTTTCCCTCCCTATTCCCCTCTGAAGATTATGGGTTCCATGGTCCAGCTTTGTACTTCTGCTCTGTACTTATCAATCTAACAACTGTATGACCTTAAACCAGTTACCATTAAGTCAACCCCATATCATGGTGACTCAACGTGTGTTACTACAACTGTGTTCAATAGGATTTTCATTGGCTGATTTTTCAGAAGTATATGTTTTCACAGGCTGATTATTCAGAAGAAGATAAGCAAACCTTTCATGTGAGGCACGTCAGGGTGGACTTGAACCCTTTGCTCACCAGCTACAAATGTCAACTATTTGTAACAGGAGCATCGGTATGAAGACGCTGCTGTTGTTAAAGTGCCATCAAATCTGTTCCCGCTCATAGTGACCTTGAATAGGGTTTCTAAACAGCAGCTGGTGGGGTTAAATTCCCTACCTTTTGGTTAATGCGTCTCCTGAAGCACAACATCAAGACCTGGTATGAAGACAGGAAAAAACAACAGCAACAAATATATATATATAGTTATATATAGTT